TTACAAATGACTGAAATGCTCACACAGAGTGGAGCTGTAGGTAGAAAAGCTAGGAAAGCTTATAGTCTCAACTTCAAAATCATGGGAAACGTTAAAAAGCCTTTCCTCACGTTCAAAGATCATAAATACCTGTATCACCAGCAAAGCAAATGAACTCATCCAACACTGCTGATAAACAACAAACTTCTAAAAAGTAACTAGCTGTAATAGGATAAACTCATACACAAAAACATCACTACGTCATATCATAAAAGAAGAGAAAATAAGGCAGCACCCACAGAATTAACAATGCAACTAAATCAATTGCTACAAGGCTTGAAATTGGAACCAAGTAGAAACCATTGATGAAGAAAACTATACAACTATAACGAAAACTGGCTCACAAAAACACAAATAAAGAAATGGAAAAACACCATTTCTGTCACAGAATGATTTAAATAAACCCATCCAGCACAAACCAAGAAGTCCATATCTTTTAACATTGTGGAACTCTAATTATCTATCACAAACTGGATTTTATAATCATATATCCATGCATATACTATGAAAGCCTTTGAACGAAGAAGCTTGGGAGGAAAACCAATTTTTTCAAGAATCATCCAGAGGCCTTCCCTATTCACCATATCAAAGGCCTTTGTAAGATCCACAAAGGTAATATATTGCGGTTTTCTTTGTTCTCTACACTTCTCCTGTAGTTGTCTCAAGGAAAATATCATGTCATTAGTGGATCTTTTTGCACGAAAACCGCACTGGGATTCTGGGTATATGCGCTCAGCAACATGTTGTAATCATTGTGCTATGACCTTTGCGATTGCTTTTCCAGTTATATTCAAGAGTGAGATTCCTCTGTAATTGTTACAGTCTGATCGATCACCTTTGAAATATAGATATTAACAATAAGAGCATCTCTCATATCTTGTGGAATGTCTCCTGTCCTCCAGTACTGTATTAGTAGATTGAATACAGGTAGTATCAGAGCATTTTTATCAGCTTTCAGTAGTTCCGATGGTACAGTATACCATCTGTCCCTGGTGCTGGTTGTTAGACAAGGAGTCTATAGCCCTGCTGAGTTCTTCAATATCAGGCTCTGAGTCAAGATGACGCATTTGCTCGAGACGAGGTATTTCATCTAAAGCACTCTTGTCGATTGGAGCATCCCTGGAATAAATGTTTATGTAGTGTTCTTCCCATCTTTCCAGTTGACTGATCTTGTCTATCAACATGGATCCATCGGAGGCTTTCAATGGTGATACTATCGCTATCCTTGGTCCAAGGGCTTTTTGAATACCCTCATACATGTTCCTTGCATCTCTGTTATAAGCAGCTTTATTCCTTCACGTATGTTTGTCCAATAAAGTTAGCATAATGCCGAGAAACTCTTTGCAGGTCACACTTTGCCTTGTAATAGTATTTGAAGGTTAGAACTGGCAAGTTGCATGCCTGTTATAGTTGGTATAGGCATGCCTCTTTGCATTGATCAAAGGTTCAAGCTGAGGTGAATAGGTTTGAAACCATTCTTCATCACGTCTTGCTTTCTTTCCAAAGCTTTCTAGTGCTAAGTTATACATCACTGCTCTCAGATGGTACCATATCTGTTATGTATTTTCATTGATCAATTCTAGTTGTTCATACTTTTGATTGAATGCTTCCTCGAAATCTTTTATGCACTTCTCATCCTTCATTTTTCATGAGGCAAAAGTCCCCGTTAGCAGAAATGGTCCGTAGTGAGCTGTCTGATAGTTGAGAGTGAGCTGTCAAATGGTCCAGAGGGAGCTGTCAGCAGCTCCATAACTTAACTTTAATTGGTTTTAAGAATGTCCATTGGGAGTTAACAAGAGAGTCCTGGCCAGCAACATATAGCCATTGGGATGTAAACAAGAAACCCATTACAATCACTCACTTCATCTCATGGGCTTCAGTGGCAATAAATAATTTAAGAACCCACCTATTCAACAAACCAGCAGGATATATAACCCGGATTTTTTCCAGAAGTCGGGTGCCACGGACCAGTTCTGTTAATGGCCAAAAATGCAGCATGTATGATGTTTTAAAAGAGAACTCGCAAAACGATTTTTTGTTTTTGAGGGGATTTTTCATATTTCGTTAGAAAATGAATCAATTTTATTATCTTTATTTTGGAATTTTTTATAAAGTTATAGGTAATTTACGAATTCGCCAATGACGTGATTGGCGAATAAATTAACCCCAGATCGTATTGCCGCTGGCGGCGCTATACATTACTTGCTGTGTTTTGCTGTTACTCATCCTGACAAGAGTTGACAACCGCTGATGCATATCAAATGCATATTCAGTAAATCGGCGCGGCCTGCAACATAACCTTCAGAAACGAGGTTGCAATGGCCGATCATAGAAGGCCGATGGGTTTTTTATTTGAACCAGAAAAACATAAAGATAGCGTGGAAATCGAAGAAGCACATGATTATGATCCAGAAGTCGATGAGGCCATGGAAAATAGACTGGATAATTTAAACTGGTACGCTTGCGGCCAATGTCAGCTAATGCCTACAAACGGAGAATGCCTGTGTTGTAGGGAAGAAGATATTTTTACTTCTAAAATGGACGAAAACTCTACTTGTTTTATTTCGAAAACAGAGACATTTAAGAATGCGTGCAAGAATAAGGACATATTAGAAATTATCATGGCAGCGTTAAAGGAGGTTGTTGGTGAAGATTTACGTGATCCCATTTCGAATAGGTATGTAACCTTAGAGAGGCTAGGTCTATCTATAGCCTATTAAATAATATAGGCTTATCCACCACTATGCCGAGGACTACTAGTACACTAGCATTTCTACATTTTATTATTGTTACTATTAGGCCTAGCCTAGAGAAAGCATTCCCACCCCCCGCCTTCAAGCGTAGCCAAATCGTTTGTGTCTACAATAGTCGACGGTTGGGTAGGCCTAGAAAATTAGCAGAAAGTCAGTTTCGAAAACAAACTTAGCTTTAGTTTAGGCCTGTGACAATCATGCCACCACCATGCATTGTGCAGTCTTGCGTATAGACGGGATTGCTGTACTGCATGCTTGACTTTGATACCTCACTTTATAGTCGTGATGCGCGGCGCCGCATAGGCAAGGCTGGGCCTAAGCACCCTGGCTCTCCTGTATTAGGGCCTGATTTGACACTGGGCACAGCAAAATATCGCCATTTGTAATTTAGTAGCCAAGTACATTCCCAATAAACAATAGCATTAGGTATATGCAATTGAAAATATGAATAAAATCATTGCAAAACTAGACGCAAAGAAAAAAAAAATAGAAACTGTCCCTCATATATTGTATAACAATTTAATGCCATGGGCATTTTATTATATTATAATACTCGCTTAGTGGAAATTTGCTGCCATATGGGGTGGGGGAGTGTAAACCTCCCTCCATCCCTCCCTACAGTATCCTACAGCCATGATTGATTTATTTTTACCACGTTTAATTTTAATTAATAGGTTGTACAGATATGCTGCTTATAGAAGTTTCACCTGGTGGGTGTATGGAAAACTTGGACGAAAACGTAGAAAGGTTATTCCAGCATGTGCTCTCCATGCCATCCGACATCAATTTCCAGAGGCAGACCAAAATTATGAAGAGTACCATGATGCTATCAAGAACATTTCACTAAATGAAGACACTTTTTGAATACATCATAAGTTATGTTTGTATACCAACTTGAGTGTGCTAAGGCGATACTTCTTTCCCAGGTAACAAGCCCATAAGGGACCCATATGGTGCCCATATGCAGATCTACTGTATATGGGTACCATATATGCAATCCTTGAGGAAACCTCCGGATTCTGCACCCAAGTTCCATGTGGGACCCATATGATTTAGCCCACATAGCCCAGATATAACCCATTTGGGGCCCACATGGAACCCA